TAACCTTCCAGAATATTTCACCATCACTCAAGGAGATTGCACTTTTACAAATTCCATCGAAAGATGCTGTATTTGACACAGCTCTAGCTGATGAAGATGTCGATGAAGATGAGGATGATGATTTCACTTCAAAACCTCCATCAGATGTGCCAAAGAATAAAGGAAAAGAAAAGGGCAATGCTCCATCAGATATGCCAAAGAATAAGCCTGGGAGTTCAATCAATGAAACACCACACATTGTGGAAACAGAGAAAAAATCCGATAGCAAGTCAGATGAAATTGATGAGTTGCGGCAAGATTTTGCCACATTTAAGAAATCTGTAATCAGTTTTGGGTTTGTTTTTGTTATACTTTTCATTTTATAAAGATATTGTCTAACTTTTTACAAATATATCTAGGTCACTGGAGAGTTTAAGGAGCTGCGTTTATTTATTGTGGAAAATCTAAAAGATGTTTTGGATGCAATCAATGTTAGCTGTACAACTAAAGAGTCATTCCAGGTATAGCATAATATATATTAACATATATATGTTATAACACTTATGATTTGATAAATTTTCACAGACTGATGATATAGGAACTCAATTCCCTATACCTGATTTTGGGAAGAAGAATTCGCTGAATGACAACATTCAACAGTCAAATGTACAGGTTGATTCGGAAAAAAATCACTTTGATACAAATGGGGTAATTTATGGATACATTCCCTCTTTATGGAGTATACAATTATAATTGTATTCATGCAATTGATTTCCTTATATCTTTTTGTATTATTTGATAAAATTATCACAGAAAGTTATTGTATCATCAGTCATTCACAATGATGGAAATCCTGTAATGGTGATACTTCAAATGTGGATTGGGAAATGTTGGAACAGTTGTTACCTGATGCGAGTCATCAGACAACAATACAGTTTCAAAAAGAGGGTTATTAAACTATATATAAATTTTTGACAAGTAGTTGTATTGTTATTTTGAAAAAGTATTTAAATATATTAATTTATGATATTTTTGTTGTTGTTGTTGTATAGATACCACAATCAGAAGTTGGAGTCGATGAGCCTGAAGAATCATTTGTATTTGTTGTTCCTGTTCAATCTCTTGATATGAACGTCAAAACAACAGAACATGTACAACCAGCATCACAATTTGAGTTGATTGATGAGTTGCTACCAAGCCTTAATTTGGTAAAAAAAAAGGGTGGTTAACTCAAAGGCCGTAGTTGATGAGGTTACAGCTTTACCAATTCATTCAAAGGCAATAGTTGATTTGGTCACACCTTTACCAATTCACTCAAAGGCCGTAGTTGATGAGGTTACACCTTTACAAATTCACTCAAAGGCCGTAGTCAGGGGCGGCTGGTTAGGCTTAAGGAAAAGTCCTTGGCCTTAGGCCCCCAATTTTAGGGGGCCCCATTTTTTAGTTAATTAGGTAAGATTAAATTTTTTTAAAAAAATAGAATGAAGACAATAATAAATGTAAACAGCTGGAAAAAAAATGCAAACGGTTGGGAAAAAATGCAAACGGCTGAAGTGATACATATGAGTTATGACTATGACTTTTTATCTTTCCAATAAAAAGTTGTGTACTTTTTTCTTAATGTACAAGTTATTTTTTTCTAATTTTATTTTTATATATTCTATCCTCCTCCCTTCCTCTCTTCTATTTATTCTCACTTCTCTTCTCTAAATTTGAATCTTACATCTCTCTTATTCAAAGCTTAAGAATTTACTTGTTCCATTGATAATTTATATTTTAAATTTAGAGAAAAATATATTGCAACAGCCCGAATCATTTAGAGTTGATTACTTCTTATACATAGTAGACCAAGCCATCTTGTCACTTCAAAATAGATTTGAAGTATATGAAAATGTTTTTGGTTTTCTATTTAGTGGGAAGAAATTGAGATCATTTGATGATGAGAATTTAAAAAAATATTGTCTTAATCTTGAATGTTCCTTAAAACATAATACTCACTCCGATATTTGACGGTTTAGACTTATTTTCTCAATTTAAAGTGTTAAGGGAAATCATAAAAGTAGAAGACAATACTCTAATTGACATACTCAATCAAATAAAAAGACTTGATTCTTTTTCAAATGCTTACATTGCTTATCGAATAATGTTAACAATTCTCGTAACAGTCGCCTCAACTGAAAGAAGTTTTTAAAAATTAAAAATAATAAAATACTTATTTAAGATCGACAATGTCTCAAGAAAGATTAAGTGGTTTGGCTATATTATCGATTGAAAAAGAATTATTAGAAGAGATTGACTACACAAAATTATTAACAACTTTGCATCTAAGAAAAATAGAAAAATAGATTTAAAATAAAATATTTATAATTTTTTTTAAGGCCTCTAGTTTGAGTTTGGCCTTAGGCCACCATCGGGTTTGAGCCGCCCCGGGCCGTAGTTGATGAGGTTACACCTTTACCAATTCATTCAAAGGCCATAGTTGATTTGGTTACACCTTTACCAAATCACTCAAAGGTCGTAGTTGATGAGGTCACACCTTTACCAATTCACTCAAAGGCCGTAGTTGATGAGGTTACACCTTTACCAATTCATTCAAAGGCCATAGTTGATTTGGTTACACCTTTACCAAATCACTCAAAGGTCGTAGTTGATGAGGTCACACCTTTACCAATTCACTCAAAGGCCGTAGTTGATGAGGTTACACCTTTACCGATTGTCAGAATTAGACGTCCTGGTCGTTGGAATTGCTCTCCTTACTCCACCAAGTTTGGATCTTCATCTGGTAATTATAAAGTTATAAATTGTTGGAATATGTATACACATATATTAGAACTGTTAGCATTAAAATTGAGTTGTTATACAAATTTCTAATTTCTAACAGGTAGTTCCTTAATAGTGAACAAAATACATGAAAAGATACATCCATTTGTGACTGATTTCATACGAGGGCCACATAATTATGATGTTTTTGAAGATTACGCGATGTGGCTTCGTGAAGGTCTCCTTGTTAAGCACACACACAAGTAAGCACTTTTTTTTAAATACATTCGAAAAATTCATATGTACATTTAGGGTACATTCACCATAATTATACTATCTTTATTGTATCAAAGGTTGCAGGACCAAGATCACTATAAGAAGAACAAGGCAGAATTGGCAGTGCACATGGACTTGGGAATTCACTTAATAACTAACAAGAATTGGTTCTACACTTTATCATATGATGGACAACTTTTGAATGATGAGGTACATAATATATTGTATTCATTTATACGTAATGTATTGTATTCAATTATACATAATAGATGTATCTTCTATAAGAACTGATCCAACTCAATATTTCTGTCGAATTATCACAGCATATCGATGTGGTTCTGTATTACTTGCGTAAAAAAAGCAAGTACAGCGTTAACAGCCGATACAAATACACAACTGTTGATTGTCTGTTCAAGACAAAGATTGCTGACATTTATGCCGCGTATGCTAACATTGAAAGAAAAAATTGTGTTGCAAACATTGAAAACAACATACGTGAATACATAAATGGCTACAGGTTGATGGCTGCTATTCCATGGAATACAATCGACAACGTGCTCATACCAGTTAATGTGAAGCAGAGGAACCATTGGGTATTAGCTGTTCTGTCATTGGTTGAACGACACATTCATGTATATGACTCATACAGAGCAGCAAAACATGATTCTTTTGTTAGGGAGGAAATTCAAAAGCTTGCTCAGCTTCTACCGATGTATCTGTCCATGTATTATGACGATAACATGGATGATACGCAAGACCTGAACATTCCATTTTATGTGACATATGTGAAAGATATACCTCAGCAGCGATATGGTTCAATGTATGTTTACAAAATTGTGTCATCATTATACAAATTGATAGAGATATACACAATATATTCTTTAACAAATTATATATATGTACAGGGATTGTGGACTGTATTTGCTTGCATTTGCAGAGTATTTGAGTGATGGCAATGACATTAGTGTTGAAACCATCGATGCTGAGTTGCGTCGTATTAGATACGGTGCACTTCTTTGGGAATATGCTGCAAAGAAGATGGAAGATGGGGCTGTTAGCGACAATGAGGCACCCCCTAAGTTGAACAGGAAGCCATGCTCAGAAATGGACAGTAGTGAAATTGTCATGATCAACTAGTAGCCTATCTAAGTTGTTTATTTTAAAGATATTTTGAAACTACTAGTTCGTTTTGGATATTATGTCTAGTAGTTTTTGGCTTAGAGTATGTTAATTAATGAACAATTGAATTTCTTTCTGGGCAATTCGTTGGCAGACTTCATTTTTGTATGCATAATATCTTATTTAACTATATATATGTGTATTACTATTTAAATATATTTTGTATGCATATTCGTTGTATCTTATTTAACTATATTTATGTGTATTAGTATTGCTAAATACTAATTGCTCACATGGTTTAGTCTTGCTTATATATTTTTATATCAAGGAATATCGGTAACACAACTTTGTTCAGAATGAATAATCAATAGGATTTATTGTGGCTCCTAAAATATCACATTGGTTATAACATGTTCATGTTTAAAGTTAAATCCAATAAAAAACAAATGTATGTAAATAAAATCATTTTTATTGAGTAATTGTATTTTACTCAAAAGGTATATTCTAAGTAGAACAACTTACAAAACTGACTATATTTGTATGTACTTTTAGTTAAATGTATTTTAGTTTTTACCTTCATTGATTTCTTAGTTAACGTTTTTTCTTAGTCTTATTCAGGCATTATTATGACATATCAATACCACATCTTTAATTTATGTTAAGATTGCATCAAATTAAAATGGTTTATGATAGTTTTTTATTTGGCTACCAAAATTTCAGTTTGGTTTCTAAAACTAAGAGCTTGTTTTAAATTTCAAAATTAATAAACAGTAAAAAAAAACTTTGTATGCAAATAAAAACTTTTATTCAATAATTCGGCATAATCAAAAATTATGAAACAAATACTAATTATTGAAAATCAAATCCTACACATTACGTGGTGCAGCTCTACATGAACGCTTATTGTGACCACGATTTCCACACCTACTACAAGAATTGGTACCCTTTCTTTTACTCAACTCGCTGAATGATTTATCCCGTTGCTTCTTTGGCCTGCCTGGAGGTCTCTTGTATCTCGGTGGCAACACGATTTCTTCAGCAATATGTTCAGGTACGTTCCATTCAGTTACATCAGGAAGAGGATACACAGGCGCCTCATATGTCTTCAACACTGTTTTTGGCTTGTAAAAGTCTGAACAGTATGCATCTGGAAGCATATTTTTGTTATTCAAGACCGCCCAAGCATGTGGGCATGGAATTCCGTCCATTTGAAACCTCTTGCAAGTGCAACTTTTGTTTTCAAGGCATACGATAAAACTTTTTCCTTTGTCATTCACCGAATAAATGTAGTCAGTTGATGGGACAACCTGTAATGAATACAACAAATACAATTCATACAAAAAAAACATATACTTATATACAAATACAACAAAGCACAAACTGACCGGAATGAAGCAAAACGAGTCCGAATACAAACTCGCTGGAAAAAAAGAAGAGGAGAATCAGTTCTCATGAACATACATACCATCATACGTATAGATTTATCCGCATTAAGTACAAGCATCTCTTGAAATTTTTTACCAAGAGGAGTGAATGTGAAGGATGCATTTTCTCGATTTTTGCAATTCCATCTAGCGAACATTAACCTCACTTGTTCAAGAAAGTCAAATATCGGTAATTCTCTTGCTGCTACCAGAGTTGAATTAATAGACTCTGCAATGTTTGATGTCATCATCCAACCACAATGAACTGGTGCATACAACCTTGCCCACTTCTCATATCCCGCAAACTCCAAATAATTCTTCACCCTAATATCAACTTGCTCAACCTTATTCATTAGCCTATCAAACTCATTCTGCGTATATGCCTTCGCCATAGCATAGAATATCTCACTTAATTGCTCATTTGATTTTCTAAAATTCTTGCATATATTGGCCCACAAGTGCCATATACAGGCGTAATGCTGCATATTAGTGTATACTCTAGAAACAGCCTTTATAATGCTTTCATGTCTGTTAGATACTACACACATATTCTCTCTTTCTCCATACGCTTCTTTGAACTGTTCAAAAAACCACGTCCAAGAAGCATCATTTTCAGAATCGATAACTCCGTAGGCCAAAGGTAATATATTTCCTGTTATACATCAACAAAGTAATTTATATATAATAAACATTAACTAAATGTATTCATATATCACACATACCTGCTCCATCTAAAGTGCTGGCTGAAACGAAAGCACCTGTGTATGCTGATTTTAGGTGGCAGGCGTCTACAACAACGATTGGCCTACAATAGTCAAATCCCTTTATAAAAGCATGTAATGATATAAACAAATACAAAAATTTGTTTTCAGGAGTTTTCTTCATTCGAATATGTGAACCAGGATATGTTTTATCCAATGTATACAAATATCCAGGCAACTTTTTGTATGAGGCGGCAGGTTGCCCCATTATGGAATCCAATGCCTTTCTTTTGCTCGCCATGCCATCTAGTAGTTAATATCAACACCCAAATCCAATTTCATGTCAACCGCGATATCATTGGGAGTGTATTTCCTCTTATGATTTTTCAATTTAGGAGCGATAATGCCTCCAATAAATCCACTTGATGCTTTTACTTGAGAGTGCACCCCATCTTTCAAAGGACAAGTATGCTCAGAGTTGAAAACTCTAATTCTGAATATTTTCGACTTGTTTATACTTGATGCCTTCATTATCCATTTGCATTCTTTATTATGGCATACAAGAGTATAACTGCAAAACAGTTGGCAAAAAAATGTCTTTAGAATGGCATACAAGTTCATAAATACAGTTTGCAAAAAAAGTCGTCTTTAGAATTGCATTCAATAATCAATACATTTCAATTCAATCAATTAAAATGACAATGTACCTAATAGAGTTTGACCTCTTAACCAACAATTGAAACCTATTGTCAATTGAATACTTTTCCATCACAGACTTCAGTGTCGACTTGTCCATGTATACTTGATCCTCCATTATTTCCTTGTGATATCTGTTAGTAATGATCAAGTCGTTGCCACCATCAAATACATTATTTGGGTTATCACCAAACGACGAAACCAAATATAATGTATCACTTGTATCAGTTGATTCAACATTGTATTCAAGCTGCAATACATCTCCTTCAATAGAAATTTCTCCAGTTTCGCAGTAAACTATATCTCTATCGAAAATACTTACACACAATGGATATATTCCAAATTCAGTGTTCACTTTTTTAATTGAACATATACCCGTACACCCATGTCGTTGCGTATCTCTATGGAACTATCATTACCTTCAATGGTGTATTTGATTTTCATACACTTTGTAGTCATATCAACATTCAACCAGAAATTAGATTAACTAAATCAGAAAAAGAAGCATGTTCCTTCAACAATACTCCATCGATGTTGTATTCGACGTAGCTATTTTCTTCGTTCCACTCTCCAGAATGTCTGATCAATACAGGTATGGTTTCCATGTAGTTCACCTATTCAAAATCGAAATACTTACTTCATTCAAAAATTCAACAATTTGCTTACATACAATAAATTGAATTAACCAGAAAAAAAATCTATGCATACCTTTAAGTAGACGCCAGAATAAGAAATATGGAAGACAACAAGAAAATTGAGTCTGCTGTATCACAATTTTTGTTAAACTGATAAAGAAGATGATAGGATATGTCTTTAAATAAGAAATTTTCAGTTATAAAATTAATTATGGGAGTTGCTCATTCTATGGACGTTATGGGCGCAAGGTAAGGATAGTGGGTTATATTTAGAGTCAATTCCTTATTTAGTTTGTTGTACTTAAAGATGTATTAATGTATAAATAAAAAAATAAAAAACTATACAAAAATACAGCTAAAAAGTGATATAAATTGTAGTCATTTTATTGTAAATAACATACTTATAGCTATTGATATTCATTAACCCTATAAATATAGTTATTTTTGTAAGTTGCTCATATTATAAGTGGGAAGCTCCAACATTAAAGTTGGATTACCGTTATACCCTCAAGCTAAAACTATTTCTATAAATATTTTATTTATTAAAAAATAAACTTATATTATAATAAATATTATTAGAACATTAAATATTTAGAATGAATTATTTAGTTGAGAAACTAAATTTATTGTAGTCTTTTCAATTTTCCGGAGTTACTTTTCCGTGTAATACTTATTGTGAATATATACAATATATTATGCTAGAGTAAAAGAACTTCAAAACAATCATTTAAATATCTTAATTATAATATTAAATGTGCTTTTAAGTGTTTTCATTTCAATTTTTAATGATGACTGAAACGTCGTATATCTCAATGACTCAATGCGTCTGGAGGAATAAAATGGTGTTAAACTCTATTTTGCTGTGCATTAAATTTTTCCTTTCTTTTTTGTTATTAATTTTCTATTATTTATTTGATATTCAAAAAATCATGAATGTCGCTTTATATATCTTTGTTATTAATTTTCTATTATTTATTTGATATTCAAAAAATCATGAATGTCGCTTTATATATCTTTGTTATTAATTTTCTATTATTTATTTGATATTCAAAAAATCATGAATGTCGCTTTATATATCTTTGTTATTAATTTTCTATTATTTATTTGATATTCAAAAAATCATGAATGTCGCTTTATATATCTTTGTTATTAATTTTCTATTATTTATTTGATATTCAAAAAATCATGAATGTCGCTTTATATATCTTTGTTATTAATTTTCTATTATTTATTTGATATTCAAAAAATCATGAATGTCGCTTTATATATCTTTGTTATTAATTTTCTATTATTTATTTGATATTCAAAAAATCATGAATGTCGCTTTATATATCTTTGTTATTAATTTTCTATTATTTATTTAATATTTTAAAAGAACGTGGAAAACAATAACAAAATATACAGGTAGAAATTTTAAGTATTTTTTGTGATTTATATATCAGAATTTTAGTTGCTTAATTGATTTTCGTTTGTTAAATTATTGAACTTGATAAAAATATACAATGTGTTTGTAAGATCATCATCCCTATTATATGTAAGTGGATTGTATTTGGAATAATGAAAAGTTATCACACAAGATAATTTTCATAATATACATCTGATGTTGTATCATGTATGATGAGAAGCAAAACTATAGAATTATATGGGGTATTGATTCATATAAACTTGAAGAATATATTAATTAGTTATAGTTTATTGTGATTATTAGGATAAGTCATAAAAAATCATTTTAAATTTTATATTATAATGAGAAAACAAAGTGTTGAAATCAATCAAGAGTCTTTTTCTGCCTCTATTCTTAAAATAGCCTTCAATAACGTCTATTTTTATTAGGGTTGCTTATTGATATGTTCAATCCAATTTTATATATTAGTTGCTCGATTTATGAGCTATCAATTTGTAAACATGATAAATCGATAATGAATTATCATCGTCTTCATTAGTGTGAAGCAATGTGAATTAAAAGGCTTTATTCATATATATAATATAATATGTGCTTTGTATTTTGACCATTTCGGAGATCTTACATTAAATCAAGATAAGTGTATGACTCTTGTGTTGTCATACAATTAACACTTTGTTGTCAACCCATTTTGGATTTATAAAAATTTAGAGCTAGCGTGTAATTTTAGTGAATGGATATACATATTATTTTTGTTACAATGATAAAAATTTCAGTATTATTATTTTACGTTTTTGGTATTTGTTCGTATGTTCATGTATTTGAAAATTTCGTTAGAGACATTTTACATGAATATATTAATTTTTAATTCAACAATTCATCGACATATTTAGACCATTAAAGACTATACTGTCATAATTGACTTCACATATTTTTTGTTTCAAGAAAAATGTCATGTCCCACTTTTATGTAATTTATTTAATGAATAAAATACAAATATAAAATTAATATTGTTAATTTTAAAATTTGCTATTTCATAACTTAATTTTTTAAATATATCAAAGTTCTATAATAGTGTTAAGGAACAAACGTGCAACGCACGTTCCCATAGACTAGTAAGCTAAATAGGACGTACACACATCTTGTTAGGAGTCTTTTCTTTGCTATTAGTAAACTGTAAGGATTCTTTTTCTTGCTGTATATATACAAGGCCTTGTCAATGGAAAAGATCATCAAATATACAAGAAAAGTTCCGCATATATCTTTTGTTTTCTTACAGTGAGTTATTCTAAAGTAACTGAAGTCTTAATCTATAGCAACTGCTCTGTAACCATTTATGAAAAAGTTGAGAAATGTTTTTCCCCTATAAAGAATACACCCTTAATTCTTGCTTAACTCAACAAATACCATTTTGCAATGAGAAAATAAGTTTTTCTTTGGCCTTGTATTGTTTTATTTTTCTTCTCTGTTTGACCAGACTGCTATGTTTTGTTGTCCTGACTTGAGGGATAGAAGAATGAAGATATTGTTTATGAAAAAAATAGGAAGGTTTTTAAGACGTCTCTAGCGATTTCAACCTGTAAATGATCATTATGTTTATGGCATAGTATGAAAATAACATCTAAAACATATTTTGTCAGATTATTTGCACTAATTGTTTATTTTTTTTCACATTCACTCATTATCACATTCAAAAAACAAAATAGTGCAGCTAAACACCTTTATTTCTGGTTTCTTTCAAGCATTCAAAAATCAAAACATAATCACAAATAGATCATAGAGTAAAATAGGTCCAAAACCACTCAAAGACTTCAACTAGTACTATACGACAACTTTATTGAAGAAACCATGTAATTTGCAGCTCAGAAAAGAACGCCATGACTTCTATGTTTCCAGAAATGTGTTGTTGATTTTGTTAAGCCTCTTAACTACTTCTTTCATGGTCACTCTTGATTCTGGCGTTTCCTTTGTGCAGTCTAAACCCAATTCTATCATGGACGCTATGCACATTTCACTTTTACTAGTGATTTCTTCTTCCTCAGAAAAAAGATTGACATCCACAACGTCCATCATACTCCCTGAAAATGATTGTATGATCCATTTCCTCAAGTCAAGATTTTCATTGCCTATCTCTTCATCTGTTGGCCTTCTTTTCGTCAAAACCTCCATCAACATGATGCCATAGCTATAAACATCACCACTAGTGGACACTATTCCCTCTGAGCCATATTCTTAAAAACGGATTGAAGAAAAGTTACTCAATTGAAATACAACAATAATTCTGCATAAATGAAGACTTGCTTTTTTACTTCTAGAATGCTTAACTATGATAAGAGAAAATCAAAGAGAGAAGATTTATTATACCTGGTGCAATGTATCCAAGAGTGCCCAATGTCTC